GTCGTTATGAACCAATGACGAAGCTGAGTCCTTGAACCATGCGCGCATTTCTTAGAGAGCTCACACATGATGTTGTTGAACAGGTAAATCTATGAAATGTTCATAATATGGAAAGATTTACCCAAAATGGGAATGCACATTATGACAATATGGCCAAACAACTGAACACCTTGAATGAAATTATGAATAAGTTGGTGGACCAAATATATCAACCAATTGTACCAATAGGGAGTCACTTTCAAATCAGGATGATTGTAGGACATAATTTTCCACATAATTCTTCTGGTTTGAACCCAAGTCAAGGGTTAGAACCACCTTTGGTCCGTCTAGTTCAAATCGGGGGATAGTGGAAGCCAAACGTAAATGGTGATAATGGGATGACAAACCTAGGGGGTAACCCAAATATAAGAGGCAATGTCCTAAATAATGAATAGAACATCCCGCATGTTAATGATGGAGTAAACACTCAGGTTAACGGTAATAATGGCCTAAACAATGGCAATTTTGTCTCCAACCAAGGACCAAATATTAGACCTCAAGTAAATCAACCAATGAACCAACCTGTAGGAGTTCCATATGATCCAAACGTCATGTTGAGGAATCAAATTATGGAAATAGTACAGGATCAAATGGCTTTTGGGGTACGTCCTGTTATTAGACCGACTTACACAAAGCCATATCCTGATTGGGTAGATGAAGCATATCAGTGGCCTAAAGGGTATAAAGTGCTAGAATTTCATTATTCACTGGTTTAGGAGAAGTGTCTACTCTAGAACATATAAGGCGATTCACACTGCAAAGTGGTGAAGTAACTGACTATCATAAAATGAGGTTGTTCCCTAGTTCGTTAACATGAATAGTTTTCTCCTGGTTCATTAATTTACCAACAAAGTCTGTTCAAGCATGGCAACAACTGAAACAATTGTTCCATGCTCAGTTTTATAAGATTGAATCTTAAGTCACTTTGACCGATTTGACGAATTTACATCAAATGCCAAACTAATGGGTAGAAAATTTCCTTCAAAGGTTCAAAACAGTCAGGAGGAAATATTTTGTACCTCTGCCCAAGAAAGAATTCGTCAAAATCGCTCAAAATTGTTTGAGTTTTGATTTGAAAAAGAAATTTCAGGACACAAAATTTCCTGATCTTTTCCAACTTAGCGCGAATGTGATTAGGTATGAACGTTCAATAAGAGAAAAAAAACAAATGAAAAACTCTAGTAAAGAGACTTATTATAGAAACACAAATTTTGACGTCAAAAGCTCAAATTTATCTCTTTGTTTTGCAGCACTCGCTTTACCGATATCCATGTCCACAAAAGAAATATACTCAAACACTAATTGCTTGAGAGTCTTCATATTTTTCTCCGATAAAGCAGAAAGACGACTGGTTGAAGAAGGGCGAGATGTTTTTACTTGCTCCTAAGAAGTGAACAAGTCCCGAATGGAATGCACGATGGCATCTGCATCCTGTAAAGAAAAATACAAGCATTTAGCATTCTTACTACAGTAAATGAAGTGAAGATAAAAAAATGAAACAAAGGCTACCTCATCAGCAACCTTGGAAAGTTCAAGCACGTCACCGGTTGACTCAACCACCTCTGGAGACTTCCCCTTATCTGGATGAGTAGACTCTGCCACAACGAGTAGATCCATGGGATCTTCTGCAAAATTCCAAAAGTAATGAATCAAAGACCAATAGTGCAAGCAAGGGTAAAGACACTAAAATATGTATTACCTTCTGGTTCAATACTTGGGGAGTCAACGCCTTGGGAAGGTGGTAGCTCTTCAATTAGTTGTGGCGAAAACTCTAGGGTTATGGATTTCTCTTTAAGCAGAGTTTCTGCATCAGATGACTTGGATAAAACAGCTTCAACAGGAGGTGACGAAGTAGGGACTGCTAAGACTAGAGCCTTCGAGGAGGAAGTTGACCTCTTCTGAAAATTCAGGTAAAGCGTTAGCCTATGAAGAATAATTTGGTGCATAAATAAACATGCTTAAATACCTTTCTCTTGATGATGAGAGGAGCATCATCATCATCTGGCAAAATTGGTGAAGATGGGGCTGGCCGTTTACGACTGGAATCACCTTTGGCTGCACTAGCTCGAGCAGGAGAAGAAGTAGATGGAATGGCCAAATGTTTAGTGCGAGCAGGTAAAGAGGGATTCCTGATAGATACGGGAGCAGCAAAGATAGGAGAAATAGAAGAAGTTGTTGGTCGTTCCAATAGGTGGAAGGCATGGTTAGCATCAGAAGCGAATAAACTGCACTTCACAAACGGCCAGAATTGTTCAAAAAGAGGATGAATAGCAGAGCTAGAGTTGAAATAGGCTAATGAGAAGTTGCTTGCCAAAAAAGTGTTACGGGCATATATAGCTTGTGCTTCTGCTTTATTAATAGTATGGAAATGGTCTATCAAACTTTTAGAGTAACAAGGAGGAATTGGCCAGATTTTGCCAAATCCAAGTTGACGAGCAAAAAATTGGGGAGCATATATCTCAAACCTAGCATGGGTATTTGTTCCAGTTAAGATGTAGTGGAACAGTTCTCTCCCAATCAAAAATTGAATCCAAATGGGCAAAAAGGTGCTCACATTGTCCATGGTGGACGAGGTTGCACATAATCTGTAGTTGAATGAGTAGGAAAAGGAAAAAAGGAAGGGATTAAATCTAAGTTATAAAAGAATGAAAAAAGTCCCTATTGGACATATTTACAGGGCTTAATAGGTCAGTGGCTAGCCCATAACAGCTGGCAGAACGAAGGGGAGTAGATGGAGCGTCAAGTTGTGGAAAGTATACTCTCAACCACAATTAAGAAAGCCAAAGAGGGACACTACCAGTGGGAGATGCACCATTCCTCAATTGAAATTGGAGGGAAGTCATGCCTCTATAAAAGGTGGCTAAAAATAATGAACAGAAATTCAAAGGCCTACCACGCGTTAATTCATGTGCTATGGGTAGATAACTCATAGAAGGTTTCATACTGGGCACACAAAGAACATATTTACAAAGCCAAATTTGAAGAAAGGCCACATGCTCAGCATGGGAAGGTTCAGCTCTAGAACAATTATAAAGTCCTTACATACCCGAATAGGACTCAGTCAGTTTTTTGTCAAATTTTGGAATAGTGCCAGTAACCAAAATACCCGAAAAAATGGTATCGCCCAAGGGCAGAAGATTTAGTAAGGCTCCAACGTCCCTTAAGGTAATAGACATTGGACCAAATGGGAAAACAAATGTATTATATTCAGAAGACCAAGAACTCAAAGCAATAGGAAAAAGCACTGGGTTGAAAATTGGGGGTTGAAGAGCGATTTCTAATAAATCTGAAATCCTAACGTGATCAAAAATCGTCTTGGTAGAGCCATGATTTACCAGACGTGCATGCCACCTACGAAAAATAATATTAGTTTTGGGCCAAGTGCGAATACCTTTATCGTGAATCGGCCTCTGTGACAAAGAGTTCAGAAACGGAGGGCCTTGAGTACAGGAGAATAGCTGACCCACCACCGCTTGTCCGATAGATTCAGTATCGTAAAATGATGGACCTAGAGAAAACTCATGGAGATCAGGGTTGGCCGATGAAAGAAAGTTTGAGTTTATATATGGCCTGGTGAGGAGGTTTTGGAAATCCTCGAAACTAAGAGAGTTATTAGAAGGAGTTTGAACGGTCGTCATTTGATACAAAATACAGTCTCTGTGAGATTTGCTTAAGAAACATAGCAGAAAAGCAAGAAGATGAACAATAAATAGTGAGAGAGAAGCACGAAATATAGAGACGTGGGTTAATGGCGCGATGATGTGGCGTGTCTTTTGGGTTATAGGGGTGTAGTGTTACACTCTTTAGGTTATTAAGGATTACTGCCAAATGTAAATAATCATTGCAATTATCCGCTCTTTTCCGATAAAGCAAGCATTACCAGAAAGAATATGGCATACGATTAATGCTTGGCATTATTTTTGCCATATTTAGAGGTAATTGTTGACATACAAAAATAAGGTTAAATTAAATGAGGCCCATGATTAAATGAGGCCCAATTATGTGGTCCAAGAAATGGAGCCCAATTAGGGAAATTGAGGAATTGGCCCAAATAAGACCATTGTAAAATATAATGACAACCCACGAGTAGAGGGGTATCATCGCCCAAACCTGCAGAAAACCCAGGATCTGAGCGAATGAAGTACCCCATTGTCCCTCAGAATGACAGTCTCACTCTCGCCCAAGCCTTCGAGATGCCCAAGGTCTGGATGAAATAGCGTTTTGTTCAGTTATTGAAGCGGTTATTGAGCAACCTTATCAATAATAAGAATAATAACAACAGTTGCTAACNCATCACGAAGAAAGTTGGTAGTTATAGAACGCCGAGCAGTTTTCAAGCAGTTCTACAACAGAAAACCGGGAAAGGAGTATAAAAAGGAAAAAAGACATAGAAGAAAAAAAATCGAATCATATACTCTCAACTGAGAATATGGTATTTCAATTCATTTACTTTCTATTTGCAAAATTTCAATTTACTTCATGTGGTTATGCCCCTTGGAGGCGTTTTGCTTCTTTTCAATTGTTATCTTCATAAATAAAGCTCCTCTTTTTGTGACTTTGTCTCAAGAGGTTTGTTCCTCATACAATCTTCTGAACCTTTCTTTTAATTGTTAGCGATAATCCGCGCGAAACAAATACTCTAGTTCTTCCTGTTATATTGAGGAATATTATGGAGAATCCAGGACACAGGTATACCCCGTACCAGGCTGAAATTTCACAGGGTCCCTGCTAAATTTTCAGATGATTATGGATCTTACTGGACTGCCCATGTTGAATACTTCTTTGCTCGATGAAGGGACTGCTACAGCAGAGGCAATGGCATGTGTAATAATATCGAGAAGGGAAAAAGAAAACTTTTGTTATTGCTAGTAACTGTCACCCCCAGACTATTGACATTTGCGAGACTAGAGCTTATGGATTTGGGCTTAAGGTTGTCGTTTCTGATGTAAATGAGACTGATTATAAATCAGGGGATGTTTGCGGGGTCTTAGTTCAAATATCCAGGAACTGAGGGTGAGGTTTTGGATTATGGGAAGTTTATTAAAAATGTGCATGTCAATGGATTTAAGGTTGTCGTGGCATCTGATTTGTTAGCTTTGATTATGTTGAAAACCCCAGGTGAGTTGGGTGCAGATATCATGGTTGGTTCAGCTCAGAGGTTTGGTATCCTGATGGGTTGTGAAGGTCCTCATGCAGCTTTATTAGCTACATCCATAAAAGGATGATGCCAGTAAGAATTATTGGTGTCAGTACTGATGCTACAAGAAAGACTGCACTTCGTATGGCAATGCAGACTAGGGAGCAACATATTCGTAGGGACAAAGCTACTAGAAACATTTGCACAGCCTAGGTAGCTTTAATTTCTGTTGTCTTTCCATATTTTTTTTGTGTTTCCTTTATCTCTCTTCAATATCAACAACAGCTAACAATCTACTGAAGCTGAATATGTCAAATTTGAAATTGGTGTCAACTGTACTTGAATTGCTTCCTATGGATGGAGATTGATGAGAAATGAATTTTGTGTTCTAATTACTACATGAATGACAGTCATCGCCATTAAGTCACAAACTTTTATGTACTTCTAGCTTGATTAATCCAATTATCTGCTCATATTCAGTGAAAATTCTAATTTTTTATATTTGGTCTGTTTAATATCATCTTTTGTTTTTAGGCATTGTTGGCAAATATGGTTGTTATGTATGCTATTTATCATGGACTGGAAGTCCTTAAAACCATTGCCCAAAGGGTTCATGGTCTGGCTGAAACATTTTCCACTGGACTGAAAAAACTTGGGACTTTAGAAGTCCAAGGTCTTCCTTTCTTTAATATTGTAAAGGTCAAGTTTGCTGACTCAAAAATCATTGTTGATGCTGCTTATAAGAATGAAATAAATGTGCAGATTGTGGACAAGAATATTGTGAGTGTAAATCTATGTTACCTTCATTTGTAAATTACTACTTTTACTGGGAAAATAGTAAAATCTCTGTCATTCACATAACCGTTTATTTTGATGAAACAACCACTTTAGAAGATATGAACAAGCTTTTTGAAGTCTTAGCAAATGGCAAGCCTGTAGGTAACAATTTTTTAGGTGCCTATGTAATTTTCAAGTATTTATATGTTACTAACCTTTTTATGTTTATTAGGTGATATTCACTGCTGCATCTCTTGTGTCAGAGGTTCAAACTATGATTCCTCCAGGGCTTGTGAGGGAGAGCCCATATCCGATTCATTAAATATTTAACTCGTATGGCCTTTCCAAGTGAAAGTTGATCATCTTGTACAAAGTCGCCACAACGCAATCTAACTTGTAGTTTGATTTTGCAGATACCACACTGAGCACGAGCTTCTTCGATACATTTCTAGGCTTCAATCAAGGGATCTCTCATTGTGCCACAGTATGATTCCATTGGGATCTTGTACTATGAAGTTGAACCAACAACTGAGATGATGCCAGTGACATGGCCTGCCTTTGCAGACCTCCACCCGTTTGTTCCTAATGAACTGATTGCGGGTTACCAAGCTATCATAAATCACTTGAAATATAATCTCTAAATCAATTTTTGTGATTGTAGAATTTCAAATTTTATGTTTATGGGAAATAATGATAATGAACTGCGATATTCTTCTTGCAGGAAAATATTCAAAAACTTAGGTGAATTGTTGTGTGTAATTACTAGTTTTGATTCATTCTCTCTACAACCTAATGCTGGTTCTGCTGGTGAGTATGCCAGATTGATGGTCATTCGTACATATCATATGGTATTGTAGTACAACCATAAATCTTAGAATTTCTAAAAAGTTAGTGCTCATAGTACTAGATCATATAAGTTACTCCTCAACGCTTACCTTGTATTGAGCTAGAAGAGAATATTCCATCACAAGATATCCAAGGATTTTAAAATGAGTAAAAAGGCTAATAAAATATTTCATATTCACGCAACACTTCTTAACGCCGTTGCTCAAGGGCGTTGTGTTAAGGGTGATGAGGGTAGTTTTTAAATTTTAAATTTTTTTATTATTTATGCTCATTATATTTAACTTGTCATGTAGTCGAGAGGAGATCACCACCGTGATATATGTATTATACTAGTCTCAGCACATGGAACAAATCCTGCAAGTGTTGCCTTGTCTAGGATGAAAATTGTTGATGTTGGAACAGATGCCAAGGTAAACATTAACTTTGAAGAGTTACAGAAAGCTTCTGAAGCAAATAAGGAAAATCTAGCTACTCTTACGGTATATATAAGTATAATTTAGGTTTATTGAAGATATTTTCAGTTGTAAATATCAAGCATTTCCAAAACACTTACTCAAATCAGGTTACATATCCTTCAACTCATGGAGTTTATTCATTCTCTCTTCCCTGAATTCTTCTTCTTTCCTAGTGTTCTTGTGCTGCTGCTGCTATTGAATAAGCTGTTAATCAAAGTTGATTGGATGAAAAAGCTTGAATCTTCAGAAGTTGAGCAATACAATTACAAGTCATTCCCTACTGAACACCATTCTAACCCACCCTGCTTTCCATGGAAATGAAGACCGAGAATACATGATTATTACTACATGGAAAAATCTGATGAACTTTGTAATTTACATTGTAAAATTGCTAGTAAAGGTTGATTGACTAGTCTACCCATTTATCAAGAAAGTGAAAGCAGATACCAACTTTGTACAGAATAACAAAATCAGACTGCTTTGAACTTTTGCTTGAATTAACGGTAATAATCTATTACAATAGAAATGGTTCATGTCTATTACAAAAATATTTGTATCTATTACAAAAAGATCATGTCTGATCATGTGTATTACAAAAGGATCATTTCCAGCAACTTTACAAAAAAAATAAAAAACAAAAAAAAAAAAAACAATGGCTGAATTACAAATATGCTTAATGACAAAAGTACTTCACAACTGTGAAACTACAATCTAAATTAATAGGTGGCTCGTGAAGTTTGTTGAGCTACTACTGAGTGGCTGAATTTTTTTCATTCTTGGTGGTGCAAATGTAATTGACCCTCGAACGACCCTTTTATTTTTTATCATGGCTGCCCTCTTCCTTGCTTTTTCTTGATTTTCTATATCTTGTAGATCCTCCACCAAGGATTGAAGTGGAATACTTGTAGTAGAAGCTTCTACCATTGTTGAACTACCTGGCTGATTAAGTGGAGGACCATAGTTGTTGAATTGGGAAGCACTTTTTATACCAATGCCAGGCGTAGGCATGTACTGGAAATTAGATTTTGGTGTTGATGGTTGCACTTCAATTGCTGTATTGCTCGGTGGCCTCCTAAGTACTAGTTTGACCTGAAAAGAAGGTTAGATATCATTTAAGCAAAGCACAATGTTTGAATAATTTGAAAAAAAAAAGCCTCGTTTCGATGACCCATGAGTTATCACTTACAACGTTATTTGACCTATCTTCATTTGCAGGATTTATAACACTCTCATACCAAGCGTGAAATGAGCACATATAGTGTTTCCATTTACCAAATTAGTTGAACAAGAAAAGGAAATAAACATCATCTTTGAACTCTAAACAAACCTCATGTGCTGAATCAGCCTTATGATGATACCTCATGTTGTGGCATGTTCCTCCATAAACACTACAAGTAATTACTCTTATACCCTCTTCTTCAGCTTACCCTTAGATCTGACATAGGTGATAACATCTTCCTCTGCTTGTCTCCTTCTCTTCTTTTGTTTTCTTTCCCGTTTAGACACAATCCAAGTTGGTGGTTTGACCAGAAGGGCATCAACCGAAGGCCATAACTTTATTCCATTCATGCACGTACCTCCAAGGTTCACCCCTTCTATCTAAAATTGCAGCAATTGCATGACCACATGGAATCCCTGACAAATCTCATCTCCTACAAGCACACATCTTATTATGTAGATCGACACAAATTCTCCACTTGGACATTTCACATAAGATTGTGCCCAGCAGACCAATCCATCTCACATCCATCTGATAACTCACAACTCTTCACAAGCTTCTGTTGGACTTTAGGACATAAAGGTCCAGTTACCTTTCTCATCTTGCCCTTCCTTGCTTTTATCCTCTTCATGAAGCTTATGTGCAAGTCAATTAACATTGTTAATATGAATTTTTCCCTTTCTTCCAATACCACATTATTGAAAACTTCACATAGGTTGTTAAAAAGTATGTCACTCTTCACTTTTGTCATAAAGTAAGCCTTACTCTATTCACTTGGTTGCCTTTTCTTTAACCAAGAATGTGATGCTTTGCTCTCCTTCTCAATCTCACACATCCAAAAATTCCAATCAGATACTGTCGTCGACTCGGTAGCCCTCCATAAGTAGTTTTTCAGAGTTAAACTCTTAAATTCAGTCATGAAGAAATTACTATACATGTGTCTAACACAAAAACGATGTTCAGCCTTAGGATACAAATTGTCTATGACATTCTGTAGACCCTTCTGTCTATCAGTCATAAAGGTCCAAGCATTACTATTCAAGATCTTCAAATCTTCACCCAGGTGTTGTAGAAATCACCTCCGAGTAATAGCATTCTCATTCTCCACTATTGCATATGCTACTGGGTAAATGCAATCATTGGCATCTAATGCCACAGCTACAAGCATTTGACCTCCAAATGTCCCTTTCAAGAAACACCCATCTAATCCCAAAAGTTGCCTACAATATGATAAGAACCTTCTTTTGCAAGCTTCTAAACAAATGTATATACCTTGAAACTTTTGTTCATGCATGGTAACTATGCATGTAGACGCATGATTGGTTTTCAAAATCTTAGCTGCAAAAGACCTAAGCATATCGAATTGATGCTCATCAGATCCTTATATTAATAACCCAGCATATCTTCTAGCCCTCTAAGCCATAACTTTATTAATTGTCAACTTCAAATCATCATTTACAGCCTTCCCTAATTTATATATAGCCTGTGCTCTAAACTCATCATTCGATTGTGCTCTAAACTCATCATTCGGTCTAAACCTCAAATTACATTTAGTAGCAGTCCCATGATTCCTCACAGCTTGCCTAAACTCCTTAATGTTTTTAAATTTCTTTCCAATCTCAAGTCGTATGTTGAGTCTCTCCTTTTTGGGATCACACACAGGGGAGTGATAAATATTTTCTCCACTAGAAGAGTAATCAGTATGTCGTTGCTCCTCACTTGGGCAATCTACCTCATCAGAACATTTCTCTTGTTCCCCTCCAACATCAAGTTCAAGTGCATGCTTGGATGCATTCTTATCATAGTGGAAATCATCATGGTTAACCTCATTATCTGAATCAATCAACTCACATTCAATCGGTATCTCTTCCTTTTCTTGAACTGTATATAAAAAAAAAAAACTTCGTGAAAAATAGCTCAGTGCCGATATTATATTGCAACAGTGACGGGTTCCATGTGAATCAATTAACTCAGCTTGACAAACTCAAGACATGTCTCCAAAATATGTAATATAAAATTGAAAAATTCATCAGAATTATTGTAAATAATTTACCTTGTGGTCCTTCCTCCATGGTCTGCAAAAGAGACTCATCCAATTTATTTTTTTCGATTGGGTCCCTCATGTTCCTTACAATCAAGACAAGAATATTTCTATGTTTTGTGGCTAAATTTTTTGATATCTGTTTGGATATGTTTGAAGTGAAAGAAAATTCTAGGGTTCGCGATTTGGGGCTTAACAGTGAAGATAGAACTTTCCAAAGATTGGAATTGAAGAGGAGTGCAATTTGGGGAGGATTGATTTCGGTGGACAGTGATTTTCAATTTCAACAGTGGACGGCGATTTCAATTTCGACGGTGGTCTTCGATTTCAATTTGCATGGAATTGGAGAAGGGAGAAGAAATGTGGGTTTCATTCAAATCTTCACGTTAATCCTGTTTGGCTATGTACAAATCCTGTTTGGCTATTCTTCACTGATGTGTATATTTTGTTTGCCACATCATCCACCACGTAGAGATTTTTGTCCAGCTGTAGAGACGGAATTGGCTTTAGTGATTGATGGGTAATCTAATGAATAGTTCAATGAATATTGAGTAACCATTTAAACCTCCTCAAGTGCACTTTTGATGTTGCTTCTGAAAAATTCCTAGGCTCTTTGGTCAACCAGAAAGGAATAGAGGCTAATCTTAAAAATATTAAAGTTTTGATTAAAATGAGGTACCCTTAAAAACCAAATGAGGTGTAGAACCTCATAAGGCAGGTGCCAGTGAGCCGATTTGTTTCTAAAGCTACCTATAAATGTCTTCCCTTCTTCAATATACTAAATGGGGAGGAGAAAGTCCCAGTGGAATGAGAAGTGTGAAGAAGCTTTCCAAGGGCTGAAAAAACACTTAAGACAACCCCATTCCTCTCAAAACCAAAGGCTAGAAAGCATTGCTATTGTACTTGACAGTTTCTACAGAGGCCATTGTTGACCTATAGTTGATTTCATGTTTTGATTATAACAAATAAATTATTCTTATCTCAAACATTTATATTCGAGTTTTCATTATTACGTATTGTGAACCTGATAGAAATCGAGCACTCATGTCAAAACAATTGGAAACAAATTAAGCACTCGCGCAAAATTCAAAATCGAGCAACAAATCATGCACTCGCGCCAATCAATCGAAGATATTAGACTTAGATGATTTGAATTCAAATGTAAAGGTAAAATGTTTTAATTCTTAGTAATGAATCAATACAAACTCGTAAGTCAAATTTTTATGCATGAGATAAACTTTTTACAAAAACCCTTGCATAAAAAATTATTTTCGATAGAACAAAAATCTCCACTTAAGTTTGAAATTCTCTACCAATAATACTCATTTTGAAAATTTAAGTGAATATGTTCCTTAAGTATGCACACTTGCAAAAATAGTCAATAAAAGAGTGAACCGAAGAATTCTGCTCTGCCAAATGTCCTGACAGTCTGGCGGACGTCTGGTAAGTCTTGCAGACATTCGGTGGCCCAACGGTCAAAATTTTAATCTTTATGATTTCTGACGCTCCATGGCTAGTTCAGTTGTCCGGTATGGTATCGGTCGTCCGATTAGGCAGAACTTTTGACGTTTTGACTGTTGTAAATACTACTTCACTTTACATTCAAATACATACATTTAAGAGCATTCAGGTGAGATTATTTTGAGCAAAATTGCATTTATTTCTCAAATAATGTATTATCAAATCATTTTAGTCTTGAAATTTTTTTGATTAAATTAATTCTTAAAATCAGTCAACAGATCAAAGTTTTTCATATATAACATTTGAGTTTCATTCATTTCTATTTATTAAAATGATAGCTTATTTCTCTCTTTGTACTTAATTGTGATAATATCATTTATTAAGAGAGAAATTTCAATTCCTTTTAGATTTGTAGGTCGTGTTAAGGTCCCGTAATTTTCAACGTTGCATAAAGATCAGTGCTCTTTATTTGTAAGTCACCAAAAGCTTTGTAAAGGGTTGGATTGTACCACAAGTCAATCAACATAGTGAAATTGGTTTTACTCGTGTCGGAGAGTTTGGTAACGGAGGACGTAGATCATTGCATTGGATCGAACCTCCATAATTATATCATTTGGATTCTCTATCCCTCTTTACTTATCATATTCATGCTTATTATTTAAATTAGTCTATCTAGTTATCACATTTTTTATTTAAGTTTAATTTTTCAAAAAAGTTTTAAAAACAAATTCACCTCCTCTTGATTAGCTATTCTTTGACTATCAACCATAAGTTCTGTCCTAATAAAAGAAGATGGCAACATCCAAATGCCTATCTATCATGTAAGCAAGGTCTTCATATCTGTAGAGACTCACTACACAGATATGGAGAAGCTCACCCTCTCCCTAGTTACTACTTCAAGAAAGTTGAGGCCATATATCCAAGGCCACAATATAAAAGTGTTAACCAACTTCCCACTCTAACAATGTTTCAGGAAGATTGATGAAATGGGATGTGGAATTAAGGAAGTTCGATATCATTACAAACTAAGGACCTCCATCAAGCTCGTATTCATCACTCTCAAAGTCTACTTTTGATTGTCCTTGAATAAAGAAAATTAAAAAAATTAATTATATTCTAAACAAATATAATCAACTCAATATATGTAATTCAATGTCTCCTCAAAGTGAATATTTCAATTACAAAATTTAAACAAGTTGATGAAATGCAAGAATTAACAGTTATTTCATAAACTTCACATATAGTATATTCAGCTTTTGAGTGCCTGTATGTTAGACATTCTCCATTCCACCAATGCTAATTGAATCAAGTTATGTGTTTCAACTTCAAAAGTTTCTTTTCCAAACAAAATCGAATTTCGAGTATGTCAATATAGCCTCCATCACTTGTATCGGTCTCTTGATTTTTCACTTTCTTGTTCCCGAATGTGAACTAACCAAGTGATATTGGACTTATTTTCATCATTAACTAAACCACTCCAAATTCATAATCGATAAATAAGACTTATTCGGACAGAGATGGCGCTAACAGTTACTTTTTTAATGCCTCTCCACATTTTGGTGTGTTTCAATTTTCTTTTCTTTTCATTTTTTTTGTTTTATTTTTGGTATTTGTTTTGTTTTCGAAGGTAGTTTTTATTTTATACAATAGGTAGCCTTGTTCCACAGTAAATTATCTCCTAAATATTGGAGATGAATAGGGCAAATTATTCAAGACTATCTCCAAACTACAATATAGCTAATATTTTTCAATGTGTCACTGCTAGTACAATGTCTTTCACTTTTTATAGCCAAGATAAGAAATAAAGAATAGTAAAGTTATTGGCCTCTTCACATGAATATTTGGTAATTGTATCCCACTCTTTGTAATTATTACATGAATATTTTCCTCATCTGACCTCTTACGTAGTCTTTGAGAGAATGAATTGAAGGCACATATGCTCGAACTTTTACAACTGCCCTTGGTAGATCGCTTTCTACTACTCTTATCCTTAACACTTCCTCCTTAGAATTAATCTTTGTATTATTAAGCAAGAATCCAAGTGTAGGTGAAAGCTTAAATTCAATCCGTACAATCTATTGGTATTCTGCATGTACTGATGGACTATCTCCACTAAACTTGGTCTTAATTATACTTGTTCGGTTTGACAGTTGGTCGCACATTGCTAAAGCAATCTATTGGTATTCTGCATGTACTGATGGACTATCTCCACTAAACTTGGTCTTAACTCTTGTTGAGAATTGTTGGAACTACTCCTTGTTGATTGTCCGACCATCTAAAGTTTGGTTGTTGCTTCTATCCCGAATTATATGTTTGTGAATAAGGATTATATTGTGTGTGTAAATTATTTTGGATATATTTTACTTGTTCTTCTGGAGAGGCCAAAATATTACCTCACACAATGGACGTTCAATTTGCATGCAACACATTCTCGACATGAAAATTTCAAATCTAGCTATTGTCGGAGGGAGAAAAAAATCTGCAACTGGGAAATGAAAAAAAAAAATGAATCGAAATTGGTAGCAAATTGGAAGAAAAATCCCCTTCCTTTATAAAGAGTTTGCTCTTTTGACTTAATACCTTCCATGAAAAAAGAAACTTCATTGTTTTTGAAATTAGAACGGGTGCTTGCTTACAAGTTATAGTAACAATGAGACGACGACGTTGGATTTGGTTCAATCATTTTTCTTGATAAGTGGGGCCTAGCTCACCCCAACCATTCCCAGTGATAATTCTAGCCATAACCATAATTTAATTGGGCCACACCTTTTAACCCAAAACTTACTTTACCATTAATCAAGGGAAGATTACATATTGAGATACAATTTCAAAATTAAAAAAGTTCACTTGAAATTTCAAAAATCAGGCCATAATTAAAATCTGTCAATTAAATTGATAATTAAAAATATTCTCCTAATTAAATATATTAAAGTCACAATACTATATAAGTCAATATTTCCATACAATATTTCCATAGATCTTATACTTCCTTGTTAGTATTCACGTCCTTGACTGCTTTTAGTCGTGTACTGCAGTTGTTTCCAACAATACACTGTTGTGCACGAAGGAGCTCCATCGCGGTGATGCTGTGTGCGATGGTCCCACGAGCGGCGCTGCATTGTGTGTGGCTGATGGATGGTTTCCAACGAAGATAGAAAAGAGAGAGGAACGGGAGGTCACGATTTTAATTGAGTGGGAATGAGGTGGTGAAGGAGCGAGTTATTAGTAATATATTTTCTTAATATATATCAAATAACTAATTATAACCTAAATTTTGAAATATAAAACTTAAAATATGATTTACAAAATACAAATTTTAAAAACAGTCCCAAGTGTAATTTCTACATTAATCAAGCTCAAATCGGTCTCCGCACAAAATTCAATTTCCTCTGCATTTTATTTAACATGTGGACCAACAAAAATCAGCCCCTTGTTCAAAAAATTTAGGAACTACAAGTCCCAAATCATCGTCCCCAAACAGTGGGCCAATTGACCCAAATATGTTTTCTTTTGAAAACCAAAATCTGAAAATAATTCGTCCTCGATCCATTTCGACTCTTAACTCTCTTTGTAAATTCAAAAGTAGCTTAAAGGATTATTTGCAAAACCATTGGGTTAAAA